TTTCTGACTTTGAGATTATTGGGCTCTGCATGATACAGGGAGAGCCACTTCAGTAAAGGGATGAAGCTGAGGAGGAGAGCCATTTATTAAAGATGCTGCATCACAGTGTGGGTGGGGGCCCTTTTTATCACAGTCACCGGGGAGCTTGTTAAAAATGCACATAATTGGCTCCACTCCAGAGATTTTGATTCTGGATGTCCGAAATGGAGCTAGGAACAGTCCCCAGGTAGATAATCAAGAGCCCTGTTTGAAGAACCACTGCTGTGGGAAGTCCTGCCAAGTCTAGTTTAAAGATTTCTTTCCTCTTGAGCTCTATAAGTTTCAATAGTGCTTAATTCTTTCTATCCCATGTTGTTCTTAGCTGTGAGAGCAAATGGTTGCTATCACCGGGAGGGCAGGCATCACAATATCCCGCTCCATAAGGGCTGTGTTTGCAAAACAATTGAACTGAGGAATAATGGGATTTTTATCCTTTAATTCCTTATTCATAGTGGGATTTCAAGAATTTCTCTGTAGGGATCTCTGTGTTGATGCAGCAATGTCTTGTGGAGGGGGTCGTTGAAGCCATGTTTACATAATAAATTTACATAAGGTTAGAAAACATTAATTATTGACCTAAAAATTGAGGTGAGGGCATGTTGGGGATTCACTTCTGCTTATTTATTTACTTAAAAAACGCTAAGCATGTACTTGATGCTAGATGTTTGATGGTGTCTTTGAGTTGCTGTATTCTCCATAACTGAATTGTGGTGGCCCAGTGTGTTTCTTATGGATGGGCTGCTATGGTAACCATGGGAAACCCATTCGGGACAGAAATTGGCGGTGCTGGGTGCTAGTGATGTCATATGGGGCACACACGGGTTGACTAGGTTGAACACTGTAGTAGACTAGGTTCAAGTTGGCAGTGAGGCAAGATGCGGTTATCAGAACTGGTAGTTGTCATTTGGGTCTTTTTTATATTCCTCCTGAGAATTCAAATCATGACCATTAACAATAGGTCCCAGGGAGGACCCTCATGGACAGACCTGCAAAAGGCTATATGGAAGCCTCCTCACCTGCAAGGTTGCATAGATTAGAGTCCCTTAGAGTAGCTGATTCACTTTTGAACACCTGTCAGAGTGTCCTTGTAGAATGAAAGACCATTGTATATAAGGCATCTCAGAAAGTATGCAGTATATGGTGCTCGCTGAAAGAATAGTGTACAGTTATACTCAGAGGAGCTAATAAATCAGAAAGTGGAATGTGGGGACAAAGAGAATGAGGACTCTGAGTAGGTCAAAGCTCTCGGTAATAATCAAGAGATTCCTTTCAGATGCAGCAACTGGTCCTGGTTAAGATGAGATCACCCTCTGGGAAGAAACGTTTGGATAGTTTGCATACTTTCATATGGGAAATTATTAAAATGGAGATAATGGTGTTCTTCTGGTGGTTTTATAGTTTTGGGCTTTTTGGTTTTTTTGTTTTTTTTTTAAGAAATGGGGTCTCACTCTGTCACCCAGGCTGGAGTACAGTGATGCCATCATTGTAACCTCAAACTCCTGGCCTCAAGTGATCTTGCAGCCTCATCCTTCCAAGTAGCTGGGACTATAGATGCATGCCACCACACCCAGCTAATTTTGTTATTTTTTTGTAGAGACAAGTGTCTCACTATGTTGCCCAGGCTGGTCTTGAACTCCTGGCCTCAAGTGATCCTCCTGCCTTAGCTTCTTAAAGTACTGGGATTATAGGCATGAGCCACTGTACCTGGCCCCTTCTGGAGATTTTAAATTGAAACAGCAAAATAATAAGGAAAAAAGAAATGAAACAAGGACAGCTAGAAAAGCATTGTAAATGAGCTCCTCTTGATAGATAAAAAATTTAGATAAATGTAAACTGTGCGGGGGCATCTGTTACGTAGGAGGGAGACTGTATCTGAGCTAGTTGGCAGAAATGGAACATGTGAAGGGTCGGGGATAGCTAGAAGAAATGTAATCTGTGAAGTCACTGAATTCCGAGAACCATGTAGGGGTCACCAAGACCTTATGGAGAGGCAGCAAAATAACATTTTTTTATTCATAAGCGAGGTGAGCCAAGAACACAGTTGGAGGAGTTCAGCCTGAGGCTAAACTGCACCTAACCCACTCAGAGGGGTCCTGGCTTGGAGCTCCTTCCTCATGCCTATTACATTGTGGTGAGAAAAGCAACAATTGAATTAGGAAAAGAGTAATTAGAGAGCCACCTAAGGCCTCCAGAAAGGCCTGGGGTAAAGTTGGGGATGGATGTAGAATGCAAAGATATGAAATTTTGAGGGAAAGAGTGAATTATGTGAGAGTTCAATATAAAAGGGTTAATTTAAGCTGACCAGAGGTGCTGCTGACCTGTTTCTTCTCCCAGTGACTATGGTTAAACCAATTGTAAGTAATCATCACTTACTGGATTGGGATCATTGCCTGAAAGAACTGATAGCCTGGGAAAAAGCAGAATCCCACTCTCATAGTGCCTGGGACAAGTGGACCTGGAGTATTGGAGTAATCTAGGTACCACATAGCTAAGAATATTCTCCTTGTCTTTTCTGTTGCCCTGAAAAGTTGGAGCAGAGAAGGGAGTCAACACCAGGTATTGAGTCTTCAGAGGTAAAAGTACCCAGTCCCTACCCTAAAGAAACACACAATCTAGTAGAGGATAGAGAAATCCACTGAATAGGATTAGAAACAATGACCAAGCCAGTAGAAATAAACATCTCTGATACTCAGATTGTGGTCTTGAAACATTATTATTATACTTCGGCTGAAGAAACCAGGACAGCCTGGCACCGGGGCACACACCTGTAATCCCAGTACTTTGGGAGATGGAGGCAGGAGGATCACTTGAGGACAGGAGTTTGAGACCAGCCTGGAAAACACAGTGAGACCCTGTCTCTACAAAAATAAAAAAACTTGGCAGGGTGTGGTGGTGTGCACCTATAGTACTAGCTGTTCAGGAGGCTGAGGCAAGAGGACCACTTGAGCCCAGCTGTATTGGCAGCTGTGTCCAGAGGCCTGAGCAGACTCAGTTTCGACCCCTTTAGCAACACAAGTGGCACTGTGTCTTCTTATCAGGAGCCACATTCCCTTAAAAAGACTGCAAAAGTGTAGCTAAAGAAGTGAGGAGCAGGAGACATCAGGGTCACAGAAACCAGCATGAATAAAGTGGTGTCCATCTGAGGGAGTGACAGATGTCAGGAGCCCAGACTTTTCTCTATAATACATAGCAGTCCAGAGCCCAGCTGTTCTGCACTGCTGCTGAGGACTTGGAGAAGTCTCACTGGGTGAACATTATAGAAGAATCTATATACCTGGGTTCCAGTACTAACCTATAAAGTTAAAGCCACACCTGTCTTGAGGGAGCTCGGCATTTTTTCTAGACATACTCACACGTTTTTGCTTCTAGCTTTCTTGGAGCTTAGATAACTGACAAGTATGATCAGCATTTTCATAAAATTGAGAGGAAAATCAAAGCCCTGGAGAGGTTAACAATTTGAGTAAGGCCGGTTGTGGAATCTACCCTGTTTCTTGTTCTAGTTTCTAGTTGTCTAGAGATGATAGGGTTTCAGACTTGGAAGTTACCCTAGATTATCTAACTCAGCTCCCTTCTGTTTTAGGTGGGGAAATTCACATGCATAAATGAGAGGGCTTTAACTAGGTATAAAGAACAGAAATGCAATGAAGCCGGCTTACACCAGAAGGAGAATTTTTCTTAAGAATATAGAGACATGCGGTGGCATTCAAGGGCAAGGATAAAGCTGAGCTTTGAGAGTAGACTGGAGCTGTGCCCTGCAGTGCTGTAGAGAAACTGGCTGCCCCTTGCTTCTGCCTTTTTCTCTGCTTTTTTCTATGTCTCTGATTCATTCTTTTCTCTATGTAGATCAGCTGCTTCTGTCCTGTCTCCCTGCCACCCACTCCCCACCTAGGGAAAAGGATCACCAACAACTATTCCTGAGTTTATGGCTTAGAAGTGAAGGCATTCATTCCCTGCCATTAAGGAAAGAAGCTAGCCTGATTCTAGAATCACAATTCATATTGTCCTGGAGAAAGTCTCAGTGGCCCAGTTGGAACCATCCAGAGTCCAACCAATTGCAAACAAGTTGGCGGGGAGGGGACCATTGTTCTATACACGTGTCTGCCGGGATCCTTGCTTCTGTAATCATGTGGTATAAATCATTGGTGGGGGAAGGATATTTTCCAGAGAAAGCAAGGAGGCAGTGGCTGGACAGCCAGCCTCGTAGATGTTTAGGACACTACGTCAGGACGTTACGTCAATTACCAGTAGCAGAGTCAGGACCAAAACCCACAGCATCTGACCCAACAGCAGTCTTTCCTGGGGCTGCCCCACGTGCAGAAACAGTAGCAATGACTTGATCTTGGAATGAGGAGAGGGCACTCACTCGGTTCTCATTCCTACTGGTGTGGAGAGGTCTCTTCACTGAGAGTGTAGGAGATCCAGAGCTCCAGGACCATAACAGCCAAAGGTAGGTTCCCTCGTATGATTCCAGACTTTCAGTTGCAAGTCACAGAAACCCTGCTTAGGCAAAGAGGGAATTTATAGGAAGGCCATTGGCATAACGCACGAAACCGAAGGAAGAACTGTAGGTTCCAGGGCATCTTCAAGAATCTGGAGTCAGTACTACCATGACACACATTTGCTCACCTGTTCGCTTCCTCTTTTTCAATTTTCATCTTTCATATCTACTCATTTCTGCTCGGCTCTCATACCACAAGGTTTTCTTCACAAGGTAGGGAACCTGGCAGTTCTGGAGTCATATTCTTAGAGTATCTTACCAGAAAGAAAAGAGAGTCTTCCTTGGCTAATTCCAGGTAGAAAAATCCCAGAGTGGGATGCAGATTGAAAGGATGGAGTCATCTGATTGGCTGGGACTTGTTTACTTGCTCACACCCCGGGTTCAGGAGATAGCAGCGGGTATTTAAAGAAGGGGACCGGTAAGGAGAGTAGACAAAAACCTCTTGTTTTGTGTCTGTCTCTAGGCGACCATGGAGGCTGGCGGCCTCCCCCTGGAGCTGTGGCGCATGATCTTAGCCTACCTGCACCTTCCCGACCTGGGCCGCTGTAGCTTGGTATGCAGGGCCTGGTATGAACTAATCCTCAGTCTCGACAGCACGCGCTGGCGGCAGCTGTGCCTGGGCTGCACCGAGTGCCGCCATCCCAACTGGCCCAACCAGCCTGACGTGGAGCCTGAGTCTTGGAGGGAGGCCTTCAAACAGCATTACCTTGCCTCCAAGACATGGACCAAGAATGCCCTGGACTTGGAGTCCTCCGTCTGCTTTTCTCTATTCCGCCGGAGGAGGGAACGACGTACCCTGAGTGTCGGGCCAGGCCATGAGTTTGACAGCCTGAGCAGTGCATTGGCCATGGCCAGCCTATATGACCGAATTATGCTCTTCCCAGGTGTATATGAAGAGCAAGGTGAAATCATCCTAAAGGTGCCCGTGGAGATTGTAGGGCATGGCAAGTTGGGCGAAGTGGCCCTTCTAGCCAGCATTGATCAGCACTGCTCAACCACACGCCTGTGCAACCTCGTCTTCATGCCGGCCTGGTTCTCACCCATCATGTATAAGGTGAGTGTCCACATCAAATAGATGGCCTTTCCAGTCCTGACCCCAGGGGATTGGACTCTTCTCAGTGGGTTTGTAATCCCTCTTTTGGTGGAATTGAGTGGTTTAGTATACACACACTCCTCTGAGTTCTGAACCAGTTGAAAAAAATAGGCACAGGGATCAGTATCATTCAAAATTCTTCTTTAATCCTGACAAAGCTGTATTAAAAAATGAGGCTTGGAGGCCGGGCGCGGTGGCTCACGCCTGTAATCCTAGCACTCTGGGAGGCCGAGGCGGGCGGATTGTTTGAGCTCAGGAGTTCGAAACCAGCCTGAGCAAGAGCGAGACCCCGTCTCTATTAAAAATAGAAAGAAATTAATCGGACAACTAAAAATATATAGAAAAAATTAGCCGGGCATGGTGGCACATGCCTGTAGTCCCAGCTGCTCGGGAGGCTGAGGCAGAAGGATTGCTTGAGCCCAGGAGTTTGAGGTTGCTGTGAGCTAGGCTTACGCCATGGCACTCTAGCCCGGGCAACACAGTGAGACTCTGTCTCAAAAAAAAAAAAAATGAGGCTTGGGCTTGGGGCCAAAATTGCTTTGTACTTTTTCCTTCCCAAATGGACCAACTAGAGCCACAAGTGGAGCAGCTAGGTAGGAAAGCCAGGTTCTGAGAATGTGCCACATGGTGACAGGAAGCAGAGAACATGTTAGCTGCTCATGGGCATGCCCAGAGAGGCAGCCAAAGAGAAAGGAGGCTCTACAGGACCAGTGACCTTTAGCACATGAACCCCACCCTGCTCAGAGTCAAGGAAAGTCAGGCTTTTACCAGGATTGGCTACTTCTCAAGCGTGACTGGAGAGAAGATCAGGAAGTATTAGTCCATTCACATTCCGTCTATGAACACAGAGCAGAAGATGGGTTTAAACCAAAGCATGTGTCAAAGTGTTGGTAGTTTCTAGCAGGACAGTCTACATCTTATATATTGCCTAGAAACTCGGATTCTGTATCTAGTCAATAAAAATTATATTGCTACTATGACTACCAATAACAACTTCAAATTGTCTCTCCTGTTTGTAATGATCATTATACACCAATCATTTTTGACGTACTTAGTATGTGCCAGGCATGTACTTTATTGCCATTATGTCATTTATTCTTCCCTGAAGCCCTGTGAGATGGGTAGTGTCATCTGTTTTTATAGATGAGGCTACTGAGGCTCAGCAAGACTAAGTGACGTGCCCAGGGTCTCAGACCTAGTAAGGGACAAAGCTAGGATCCAAAGCCTATATTCATAATCTAGGTGACTTCCATCTGTGACCTCATTTGGTCCCCACAGCAGACATTTGTGGTAGACAGAGTAGATGTGCTATCCCCATCAGGATACATCAGGAACAATTGTATGCTAAATGGTGCGGATACAAGCAGCGCACTGTGGGTGGGAGTGCAGGGCTTACTGAGCTGGTCCCTTTGCTGAGAGCAAGGCCTTGATCCAGTGGGCCGGCAAGAAGTGTGACCTGCTGTCTATTGCTGTGCCCACATGCACCAGTGGCCACAAAGACGGACCTCATTCCCAGTACCTGTGGCTGGGCCTACCCTGCTCAGGCAGGCCTTAAGACTTGAGGTTTTAGGAGGGCTCATGCTGCAGAGTGTGAACTTTTCTGCCATCATCCACTCTTGTCCCCCTTCCTTGGGGATTAGAAGGATGGAAAGGTGGGAAGCTCCCTATTCTCCTCCCTCTCTGAGGCATAGCAGCTCCCCAGTTCCTTTAGGGGGCCAGCCTGACACCCCTGCCCTGGGTGGGGAAGGGGAGGTGATCAGCAGAACAAATGGCCCTTGCATGCTCCACCCTCCTTAAAAAACAGAGTACAGACCAGTAAAACAAATTGTGTCCCTCTGATAGCCATTTTTCTCCTTTTCATTCCCCAGACAACGTCAGGTCATGTCCAGTTTGACAACTGCAACTTTGAGAACGGACACATCCAGGTCCATGGCCCGGGTACCTGCCAAGTGAAGTTTTGCACCTTCAAAAACACTCATGTCTTCTTGCACAACGTGCCCCTGTGCGTCCTGGAAAACTGTGAATTCGTGGGCAGTGAAAACAACTCTGTGACTGTTGAGGGTCACCCATCTGCAGATAAGAACTGGGCCTACAAGTATCTACTAGGACTTATCAAGTCCTCTCCCCCTTTGCTCCCTCCAGAGGACTCTGACTTTTTAATGTCCCTGGACCTAGAGAGCCGGGACCAGGCTTGGAGCCCAAGGACCTGTGACATTGTAATCGAGGGCAGCCAGAGCCCTACCAGCCCAGCTGCTAGCTCCCCAAAGCCAGGCTCCAAGGCTGGCTCACAGGAGGCAGAGGTGGGCAGCGATGGGGAAAGGGTGGCCCAGACCTCAGACAGCAGTGATGGAGGCCTGAGTCCCAGTGGTGAGGAAGAGGACGAGGACCAGCTCACGTACAGACTGTCCTACCAAGTGCAGGGCCCGCGCCCTGTATTGGGGGGCTCCTTTCTGGGCCCTCCACTGCCAGGAGCATCCATTCAGCTGCCCAGCTGCCTAGTGCTGAACTCGCTGCAGCAGGAACTGCAGAAGGACAAGGAGGCCATGGCGCTGGTGAACTCCGTGCAGGGCTGCCTCATCCGCAAGTGCCTGTTCCGGGATGGGAAGGGAGGCGTCTTAGTCTGCTCCTATGGCCAAGCCAAGATGGAAGGAAACATCTTCCGGCACCTGACTTACGCAGTGCGCTGTATACATAATAGCAAGGTGCTGTCATAAGTGCTATAGGTCCCTGAGGCCTCACTGAGTCTCCAAAACATGATTTTTGGTTGGTGAGAGGGCTCCTGTGGCTGTACATAGGGAGGGTTTGGTGGGGCTATTTTGCATTTTTAAAATAATCTTTTTTTTAAAGATTATTAACATGCTCCTGACTTCATCATCTGATTTAGAAAGGGCAGGAACTATTTTTCTCATGTCACAGAAAAGGAAAGCGAGTCCCAGAGAGGGATGGTGACTTACACGGGGTCAAAGACTACTTCAGTCCAGTGAGAGAGGTCCTATGGTAAAGGTGAGCCACAGGTGCGTAGGAGCCCAGGAAGGGGGCACCTGACCCAGCGTCGAGGAACCAGGAAAGATTTCCTGGAGGAACAGTGCCTAGGCTGACGGTAAGGAAGAACGAGAATTGGCAAGGTGAAGATGAGAAGCAAAGCAGGCACGTGTGAAGCCAGAGGCGAGGGAGGACACAGCACCTTCAAGGAGTTATAAATAACTGATGGCCAGAGCAGGAGGTGAGGGTGCTGGAGGAGTCTGAGGGAGGAGCCAGATCACAAGGCTGCAGAGGTCTTGCCAGTAGTTTCCTTGAGGGCAGTGGGAACTGACAGCTTTGAAGCAAAGGAGAATTGTGGACAGATCTGCCTTTTGAAAGCTCATTCTTTGTACAGAATGGAGTGGAGGGGAACAAGGCTAGAGGCAAGGAGATCAGAGAGCAGCAGTGGACAATTGCAGCCCAGAGATGGAGAGGAGGGAGCCGGGCAGCCTGGTGATGTAGGAAGGAGGACCTGGGGAGGGAATAGTCAAGGCTGTGAGGCTGAGGTTTCTGGCCCGAGAGGCCAAGGCAGTGGCAGGAATAGGGGAGAAGGTTAGGGTACAGGGAGAAAGATGAATTCTGTTCTGGGCACATTAAGGTTGGAGCATCTATGACATCTGTTCTCAGTGAGATGTCTGGAGGATCTGGCTGCTTGGGTCTGTAGCTTTGGAGAGAAATGTGCCCTGCCATTCAGAGTTGGGACCTCTCATGGTGCAGGTCATAGCTGGATAGATAAAATGTTATACAGCCTCAACCATAGCCATCTTGAGCAACTGCCCCATGGGACTTTTGGCAGGAGTTGTGCCAACAAAAGTTCCTACTGAATCTCTAGCAAGGAACCTGAAAAACTGATATTTAGGGTTTTTTTTGTTGTTGTTGTTTCTCTTTTCTTTTTTTTTTCGAGAAGGGGTCTCGTTCTGTTGCCTGGGCTAGAGTGCAGTGGCATGATCATAGCTCACTGCAACCTCAAACTCCTGGGCTCAAGTGATCCTCTTGCCTCAGCCTCCCAAGTAGCTGGGACTACAGGTGCTCACCACCACACCCAGCTGATTTTTTCTATTTTTAGCAGAGACAGGGTCTTGCTCTGGCTCAGGTTGGTCTCGAACTCCTGACCTCAAGCTATCCTCCCATCTTGGCCTCCCAGAGTGCTAGATACAGGCTTGAGCCACTGTGCCTGGTGCATATTTAGGGTTTTTGAGGATAAAAGGTCCTTCGTGTCTCAGGAGCACCCCGTGTGAGGAACAATTATATGCTAGATGGTGTGAATACAAGCAGGGAGTTGTGGGCGGGAGTGCAGGGCTTACTGAGCTGTCCCTGTGCTGAGAGCAAGGCCTTCATCCAGTAGCCACAGGGCTGTCACCCTCTAGAACATCCAGAAGGGTAAAGAGTGGCAGAAGGAGCCTGGTTGCCTGAGGCTCCAAGAAGAAAAATCACTGACTGTGACTTTTTTTCTTTTTTGTGTATCTGGTAATTTTTAGGTGAAAGTCAGATATCTTGCATAAGACAGCAGAGATTGAGGTACATAGCATTTATGTGTGGAAGTGGCCATGCCCCTTCTTTGCCAGGCCTTTAGGGGGTCAGTCTAGTCTGGAATAGAGCTGGTTTGGATGGTGATGATGTTACAACCATCCTCAGTGTCCCACAGGCTTCAGGTCCCTCCAGCTTTGCCTAGAGCTGGTTTTCTCCCCTTTAGTTCTTCCCTTTGCACCTTTCCTCAGTGGGGCGCTCTCCCCGACCTCGCCCTCCCCAGCAGTAGATGCCGTTATTAGTCACTCTGTCACCTGGCTGCATGGTGGCAGGGTTTCTCTGTTGTTCTGGGTCTTCCTTAGTCTAAGTATGTGCTGTGTCCGCGGTCTTGGGATTAGGACCTTTTCAGTGATCCTGCCTCAACCCAGCACTAGGGGGGCTCTGACGATCTGTGCCCAACATGTTTTCCTCCCACTGCCCCCAGGCTAGAGGTTTTTTTTCTTGTTCCCTTCCTTGAGGACATTGTTGCATAAGGCTTACTCTGAAGGAAACTAGGGGGAAAGAATTCAGGAGGGATTTAGTGCCTCTCACAGTAACTACTGCACTTTTTCCCCAAGCCCGCACAGAGGGAGGCTGTCTCTGGTCTCTTGTCCTGCCCCCAGTCTTTCTCCTTGAGCACCTACTGAGGTCCGTGGAGAAGTGAACACATACAGCTACTCTCAGAGTTTCTGTACTCCCACACTCGTTCACAGTTGGCCTTTAACAATGCAACCTATAAAAATAAAAACTAAAAAAATTTTGGGAAGCACTAGCTGCCTAAAACAATAACAACAACAAAACATGTTAGCAGAGTTCTCCTTACCAGCTTGTTTGGCACCTGCATCTTGTTCAGCAGGTGAGTGCTCAGGTCTCCTCTCCTTGGAGGCTCCCATCTTTTTTTAGAGTTCAGGCTGCTGGTTGTCTGCAGCCTCAGCTCTCTGATGGTTCCAGGAAGGTTATGTTTGTGTATATTATCTTCTCCTTTTCTCGTCAGTGTGGAAGCAGTGTTCTTTCCAACTTTCCCCATCCTAAGCAGAAGCTGAAAACCTTGAAGTTGTACTTTCATTCTATTTTACTTCTCCCAGAATTTTATCATACTGTAATATATTTTTATTGTTAATATAGAATTGTTTAAGACAATATAAATATTAAAATATTCCAGATTTTTTATATACAGTCATCCCTTGATATCCATGGGGAATTGGTTCTAGGACACCACCCCCCAGGATACCAAAATCCACAAATGCTCAAATCCCTTATATAAAATGGTGTATTGACAACTACAATGTAAAAAAAAAAAAGATAAAATGGCATAGTTTTTGCATATAACCTACAAATCCTTCCATATACTTTGAATCATCTTTATATTACTCATAATACTTAATACAATGTAAATGCTATGTAAATAGTTGCTATACTGTATTTTTAAAGTTTGTACTATTTTTTGTCGTTGTAGTATTATTTTTTAACAAATACATTCAATCCGAAGTTGGTTAAATCCATGGATGTGGAACCCATGGATACAGGGAGCCAACTACTTATTCAATATGAAAAGAAAATGTAATTGGAACTACATCCCCTTAATAAGCTGGTTGTTGGGTTACGGTACCTTGTTTAAAGGAGGCTTTCTTATACAATATTTCTAATTGTCCCTTAGTTTGGAGTGTCAGTAGTTTTTCCACCCCAGGATAGTCCACCAGGAAAGATTCAGGATGGGCAAGAACAGGCCTTTGTTTTATAAAATGGGAGAGAAGGTGGGAGAGGAGAGCCCACATCGTGGTTCCTGATTCTCGGTGCTTTCTCAGGCTGGTGAATTTTAGTGAAGTCACATTGGAAGTGGTGGATCTGGACCTTGATTTCATTAAAAGTTGCTCTGCCCTTGACCCCTGGAGAAATATTTTTTTTTTTTTTTTTTTGAGACAGAGTCTCACTGTGTTGCCTAGGCTAGAGTGCCGTGGCGTCCTCCTCACTCACAGCAGCCTCAAACTCCTGGGCTCAAGCGATCCTCCTGCCTCGGCCTCCTGAGTAGCTGGGACTACAGGCATGCGCCACCATGCCTGGCTAAT